AAAAAAAAAAAAAAGTTAGATTAAAGAAAGTCGAAAGTGCTTTGCTGCACACATTAGTCATGCGCTTATTTTATTGAAAAATGCTATAAGTACATCCGATGTACTTAGTATTAAGAGTCATGCGCTTATTTTATTGAAAAATGCGCTTATTTTATTTACGTAGTAAAGATGGCGTCGTTTCAATTAGTCAATACGATGTCGTTTAGTATGTTTCTACATGAATGCATTCTTGTATTTAAGCATGATTGTACTTGAATTTGTAGTTAAGAAATGAATGAGAAAATGAGATTTCTTTCCAAATTCCCCATGTTTAAGTAATTCGTACTTTTTTTAACTACAAAAGTCAAATTGCTAGTTTGCCAACTTAATTGGAATTGGTGCAGATTGTTTAATACTTGCTAGCTTTTAGTATTTAAATAAGTAAATGAAGATATAAAAACTATTGTTGTTATTAAAAATGTTATTTACATTTATATTGTTTTTATTTTTAGATTTTCTAAATCCGAGCATTAGGGATGAAAACGAAAACGGTAATTTCCGATTACCGGGAATCGTTTTCGAAATTTTTTCGGATTTGGAGGTTAAACGGAAACGGAAACGGTAACCGAAAAAACATAAATGGAAACGGTGAAAAAATTCAAAAATGAAAACGAAAACGGTTAAGCCCTTTTCTGATCGTTCGAAAATTACCGTATTTAAACGGTATTTTACCGTCGGTAATACCGGCCCAACCCATACTAGGCTAACTTTTAATTATAAAGCCCAATCTAAATCCCAAATGGGCCAAATGCCCAAATCCTCTTCAGCTCAACCCTTCTACAATGCCCAAATCCTGAAATCCCCTTCATCCCTTTCGATCTTCACTCTCGAGTCTCGTCTGGGAGTCTGTCGTCTCTCCCATCTGCTCGTCGTCTGCTAGTCGCCACTCCCGTCACTTGCTCGTCGCCGCCGCGCCCCACTCCCATCACCGTCGCAACCGCATCTACAGTGCTCAAATCCCCTTCATCCCGTTCGGTCTTCACTCTCGAGTCTCGTCTGGGAGTCTGTCATCTCTTCCATCGGCCGACGGCCATCGCAATTCGCCACGCCTGCTCGTCGTCACTCCCGTCACCTGCTCATCGCTGCCGCACCCCACTCCCATCAACGTCGCAACTGCACCAGCCGCTACAGGCTCCAGCTGCCGCGCGCCTACCCCACTTTGGTGGACAAGTCACAATTCAATTGCTAGTTATTGGAATTTGTATGGATTTTGTTATAGCAAATGGTGTGTAGGGCTGCAAACGAGCCGAGCCGAGTCGAGCATTGACCTTATCGAGCGGATTGAATTTTTTTTTAGGTGCTCGAGCTCGAGCTCGTCGAGCTCGATTTTTGGTGCTCGAGCTCGACTCGATCAAAACATACAAGAGCTCGAGCTCGACTCGAATTCATAATGCTCGAGCTCGGCTCGAGTTCGGCTCGAATTTTTTCAAGAAATTTTGTAAAATAACCATTAATTACATATATATACAAGGGTATTTTAGTATTTCACATATCTCGAGTCGCTCGCGAGCCGCTCGACAATGCAATATATGGGCTCGAGCTCGACTCGAGTTCGTGCTCGAGCCGCTCGAGCTCGACTCGAGATCGGTCAAACTCGAGCTCGAGCCGAGCTTTGACTCGAGCGCTCGCGAGCGGCTCGCGAGCTGCTCGACTCGTTTGCAGCTCTAATGGTGTGGATTTAAATTTGGATTTTGCTACTATTATGCCATGAGAATATTTCAATTAATGTTTTAATGCTATATTTTATAATGTGGTGTGTTTATCGTTTTTTAAATACCGTTTTAATATATTTCGATCGTTATCGATGTATTTTCGATCGGATAGTTTCGTTTTCGATATTACCGGAATACCGATGTCGTTTACGTTTCCGACATTACCGTATCATTTTCGTTTTCGAAAAAAAATATGAAAGTGGAAATGGTTGAGCCCTATGCCGATCGTTTCCGATCGTTTTCATCCCTACCGAGCATCATATTACTCCATATATATGTGTGTTATAATTATTAATAAATCGCTTTTTCAAATTGCATAAGCATGGTGTATTGAAATTAAAATTTAGAATGCAATAAAAGACAAATTAAAATATTATATTACCCTAAATTGCACAAAAAAGAAACAGCAAACAATTAATTTTACAAAATATTTTTTTTAGTAACAAATAAATTAGGGATTACTTTTACCAAATTCACACACACACACACACACATATATATATATATATACGGGCGAATCATATGAGGACAACTCTTAAAATGCGGACAACTCTTACAACTACAGACAACTAACCTAGCAACTACAGAGAACTAACCTAGGAGAATTAACCTATCTACTACTAACCTAACAATTACAAAGAACTAACCTAGCAACTACGAACTTAGCAACTACAGAGAACTAACCTAGCAAGTACAGAGGTTATGTTAGTTCTCTGTAACCTAGCAAGTACAGAGCATCGTTGCCATACCGAGTACCAGCTCCGACTCCTTATGGAGGAGGATTTTTGGAAGCAGAAGGCGGCCGTTCGCTGGGTGGCTGAGGGCGAGCGGAACACTAGGTTCTTTCAGAAGCGGGTTAAGTCGAACATCCATAGTATTGAGGCTGATGGGTCATCCTTGACCCAGAAGTCTCAAATTCGGGAGTCGGTTGTTGCTCACTTCTAGACCCTCTTCACATCTGACAGAGGGTCCCTCGTTGCCCCGACCGCCTCCTTATTCCCTACCATCCCTCCTTCGGTCTATCTTGTCGGCCTCTGTGAGCTCCCGAGTAGGGAGGAGGTTAGGGATGCTGTTTTCGGGATTGATACCAACAACATTTTCGGCCCCGATGGGTTCTCTTCTCTCTTATATCAGGTCTGTTGGGATATAGTCGAGCCTGACATTGAGGAGGTAATGTTAGATTTCTTTTTCGGTCACCGGATGCCGGATTCTTTCACGTCTACCTCTGTCGTCTTGATTCCCAATAGATCCAACTCGAGCTCTTGGTCCGATTACAGGCCCATCAGCCTGTGTAACGTGACCAATAAGCTTATTTCAAAAATTCTTAACGGTCTTCTTTCTCCTATTCTACCCTCCCTAATCTCTTCGAACCAGAGTGGTTTTGTCAAGGATCGGGTCATTAGTGACAACATACTTTTGGCCCAGGAGATGATCCACGATATCTCCCATGCGGATTGGAAGCGGGCACCAAACATTGCGCTGAAGCTAGACATGGCTAAGGCGTATGATAGAGTGGAGTGACCGTTTCTTAGGGAGGCACTGGCTAGGATGGGATTTCCTGAGCGGTGGATCAGTTTTGAAGAGGCGTGTGTGGAGCACTGCACGTTCTCGGTCCTGGTTAATGGTAGCCCTACCGATTTTTTCCCTCTTCTAGAGGCCTTAGACAGGGCGACCCCCTTTCCCCTTCCCTTTTCGTCCTTGCGGCGGACTACCTCTCTCGCTGCCTTGACGGCTTCATCCGCGACTATCCACAGATGACATACAACACTTAATAAGGTCCTCCCATCTCGCACCTATCTTATGCAGATGACATCATCATATTCACCCAGGCGGATGATAATGGGCTGGTCGAGCTTATGCACCTTCTGCAGCATTATAGCTCGGTTACCGGCCAGCTGATCAGTGTGCTGAAGAGCACCTTCACCCTCTCCTCCTCCAGCGCGGACAGGTGGGCTCAACGGATCCACGAGATCACTGGCTTTGCGCGTGGCGACCTTCCCATTACCTACCTTGGTGCCCCTTTATATGAGGGCAACCTCACGAGAGCGCTCTTTGCCGACATCAGGCAGAGGATGATCGACAGGATTTCTAGTTGGTCGCACATACATCTTTCTTTCGGTGGTCGGCTTGCGCTGATCAAGAGCACCCTTAGCTCCCTTCCGCTTCATTTACTTATGGTCCTTGACCCCCTAGGTCTACTCTGGACGAGATGGAACAGATCATGACTCGTTATTTTTGGGGTTACGAGGACGGTTCTGGGAGGGGGAGACGTGCCTACTGGGTGAGTTGAGACTCTATCTGCCGCTCTTTCTATGAGGGTGGCCTTGGCATCCGCCGCCTTACGGATATTGTTATTATCTTCTCCTACAAATTGTGGCGCTTCAGGGAAGGAAAGTCGCTTTGGGACCAGTACCTTCGTAGCAAGTACTGCTCTAGATGCGCCAATTACCCTTGTTGGGTGACGGCGGTTGATCATGATAGCAGACAGTGACGACGCATTACTAGGGTCGGTAGGCGCGCCTAGGATCACATCTTTTGGGTTTTGGGTGATGGCGAGGTTAGTTTTTGGGATGAGTGGTGGTTAGGTGATAGGCCGTTGTTTAGGGATAGGCAGGTGTCGCATTCCCCCTACCTGCTTGTGAGCGACCTTTGGACGGACGGGTCTTGGGATAGGGAGAAGCTGGATAGAGAGTTGGGCTCCGGGGCGGGTTTTAGCGAGCATTTATTAGATCAGATACAGCAGATACCCATCTCGGGGGACAGTTCAGATGGCATGAGGTGGAGACTTACATCATCGGGTGTGTTTTCTACTACCTCGGCTTGGGAGCAGATCAGGCTGAGAGATCGGCCTAATCTTCTCTTCGGAGCCATCTGGAGCGACCTTTTCACCCCTACCATTTCAGTTTTCCTTTGGTGCCTCCTCCTGCGCCGGATACCCGTGGACACTGTGTTACATGCGAGGGGGATCTCTTTCCCCTCCCGGTGTGTGTGTTGTTCTGAGACCGAACGTCAGGAGACCGAGACCTTTACCCACCTTTTTCTAGAGAGTGAGATTGTGAGAAGAGTGTGAGAGCACTTTACTACTTGGACCCATATATCCCTACCCTCCACAGAGACTTTCCTTGAACTCTTGGGGTTTTTCTCACTGAGCACACACTTTAGACACGTAGGCTTCCTCATTCCTTGTCTGATACTTTGGTTCATCTGGATGGAAAGGAATAGTGCGAAGCATAAAGATATTACTTTTCTGCTTTCTCACATTGTTTTGCAGGTAGAGAGACATATTTCACTCCTCACAGCATTGGGCAGACTTTCTGCCCGAGACTGGACAGGCTGCACGCCACCACACCGTTACAGGGTGGCACCCCTCCGCCTGTTCGGCCCCCTCGGCCCAGAGCAGTTGTTTGGCTTCGACCCGACTCTCTTTGGGTCAAGCTGAACACTGATGGTTCTTTTGATCGCCATACCGGTGCTGCCGGAGGAGGAGGCTTGATCCGCGACCACAGTGGAGCTCTCACTACCGCCTTCCACACGTCCTTTCAGGCCTCCTCGAGCTACGACGCAGAGATTTAGGCTTCACAGATTGGCCTCCAGATTGCTGCCCACCTCTCTAGTCATATTTGGATCGAGCTGGACGCTGCGGTTGTCGCCACCCTCCTGACCTCGGGTCACAAGGGCTCGTGGCAGTTTCAGCACCCGCTTATGCGCATTAGAGCTCTACTCCGGTCTGTCCATCACAGGATTACGCATTTTCCGTGAGAGGAACAGACCTGCTAATTACCTTGCCGGCCTTGGCGCTACCATTTTTTGTAGCTCAACTTTTATCCTAGTTTAAAAGAGATGAAATGCCATTTTTTCTAATACTTAGTTTGTAAACTGTAAAGTACTTATATAATATTTGTGGAGTACTTAAAATTTTTGAATAGAAAAAATTTGATATTTTACCCAAAAAAGAAATTAAATATATATATATATATATACATATAAATCCTGATGTACAAGATTGTTGGGAGTGGAGTTTCAATAAAAGAGGCTTGTTTTCAGTAGCAGGTACTTATGCACATATGATTCATCATAAGCTCAGAACATTGGACATAGCTGAAGGAAGCAATGGGGCATTAGCTGACATATATAAGAAAGCAAGGAAAAGAAGCTGGAGTCTCAATGTCAAGAAAAAACTCAGACATTTTATCTGGAAGTGTTTCAACAATGTTCTTCCAGTTTGCACCAATCTGCAAAGCAGGGGTTTAGAGAGCTCGAATGATCTGGAGGCTGGCTCCTGTAACTTGGGATGGACTAGTAGCAGAAGAAGCCAGTTTCAAGTGCTGGTGGAGCAAACTTTGTGAGGTGAGCAAAAAAGAAATCTCAGAGGATCGAATCCAGTTGACCACCTATATCTTGTGGTGGCTCTGGAAATCAAGGAACCTCTGGAAATTTCAAAGCACTCTCATGCCAGAAAAGGAGGTG